ACTACTGTGACTGCTAAAGGCGCTACAGATTCCATTGCGCCAATCTTTAAAACCAATATTCCAGGGGTTCCATTGAAGGAAAGAAAAGGTTAAAATGTGTTTATGCTGCATGCATAGAAGCTTACAATGGAAACAGAAATGCATGCGACACATATAAATCTTTTTGTTTACATATGCAGCTTTTCTTCCAGCAATGATAAGGTGCCCTAGAAACATTCACTAATCTTTGCAACACCCCAGAGGGTAAGTAGTGAGAATTATTATCTTCATATTGCAGGTGAAATACCTAGGTAAGGGCAGATTAAATGGCTTGGCCAGGTCACTCTCAAAGTCAGTTATGAAGCTAGAAATAAAACTCCAGTCTCTTCTTAGTTCTTATTCTGAGTCATGGCACTCCTGCAAACAGACAGACCAGGCCTGTCAGTATTTGTGCTGGTTTTCCTCACTTGAAAAGTAACCGCTGATGTAAATCCTGTCCCTGTTAAGGAAACCTTGCTGTGTGGCACTTGCACACACATGATACTGAGTCCCCGGTGAGCAGTTAAGAGAGTACTCTGCCAGTACAATGAACGAGCTCAGGTAGCTAAAGGATATCAGGAAGCCAACTTCTCACTGACCCGGCCCTGTGAACAACTGGATGTCTCAGAAGTTGCCATAACTTTAGAGATCCAATATTTCTTTAACAGGTGAAGTGAATGAATCCACCCTCTCTGTTACTTTAGTTTCTTCTTGATAATTCCAAGTTGTACGTATCATTGGAATCAATACTAAAAGGCTTAGCCTCTGACCTCAAAAGCGTGTACTTTACACTAATTAAGACTGCTTGATGATGGTACAAAATAAAACTTGGGAACACTCATAACCCTCCTGCACATGTCCTCTTCCTCCTTCTTTGTATTATTTTTCTTTCTGGCTGCTCCAGATAGATCTAAAAGCCAGAGAGGCTGGTCCCCTCCCCTCACCATTTCTCTTTCACAATGACAGGCTATGCACTGAGAATATCTGGCCCTTGTGGGATGACTGGGCAGCCATGCTGAGCGTGCTTGTGGTTGTGTGAGCAGTAGCTGGGGTAAAATCACCTTCAGCTTTGCTTGCTCCTCCCCAGACTGGCAGTTTGCGTCACAAAGGTACTTTGTGCTTTGGTGCCTTTTTTCTGTGGAATATCTCCGAGTATGACTTCACTTCTCTGTTAGTGAGCACTTTCCCCCACAAATATGACCGAACAGGTGTTGCTCTGCTGCTAACTGAGTTTCCAGCTGTCCTCCTCCAACGCAGACCCGGCAAAATCTGTTGTTCCGTCCTTTTAGGCAGACTGGAGAGCCATTGAGCCTGAGATGGAGGTCTCCTTGCAGGATATGGTCATTTCGATGCCAGAAGATGGTCGGGAAAGCCTGGCTGGCTAACAAAGACAGGCCTTCAGTGGCTGGGTGTAGTTCCAGTTCTGCATCCCCTTTGGCAAGAGCACAGAGGCTGCTGCAGTGTGGCCAGCCAGCAAAATTAGGAAATAAGGACCTCTTTTATTTACTCAGGCTGCTGAATCATGGGCATTCCTGTCTGCTTGGAGAAAAGTCAGGCAGCTCTACTTTCCACGGAAAGTCTCAGGAGTGTTTGAGACTTTCATCTCAGAGTGTTCACACACTTGTTTTAATGTGCTTTATGGAAATGGTGAAACTCAGCAAGTACAGTCACCGTAGAAAAACATCTGCACTAACTGCACACACATTTGCATCTTTAAATAGACTTTTAGGACATGAAGCTGGTTTCCAGCAAAGTTTTTTCGGTGGTAAGAGCTCTCTCTGCTAAGTTGGTGAGTGTGAAGTGATTGATTCCAAAAATTAAAATTTAAGATGGACATGTTAAGTACTTCACATTGAAATGCAGAAAAGTTGCCATAACACCGAAAGACAGTCCCCATAAGTAGCACTTAGTGAGTGCCGAAGGGGAAAAAGCCCAAGCTGATTCAGAAACCAGAGCTGAAAGACTCCTCCATAGTTTCTTCCCTGTGTAACAAAGAAATTGAAATTGTTTAAATCTGTATTTGCTCTTTAAGCATGGTTTGCATTGTGACTGCCAGAAAGTTGAAATTAATTGAGTTGAGTAACTTTCAAAGAGTTAGATAGGTCTTGGAGATTGTTGGCAAAGACTGCACCATGCAAGTTTTGGGAGGGTCTAATATCCTTCGAACATGGACCAAGACTATTGGGAGTTTTGTCTGTGAGTTCCTTGTGTGTTCCTGGGACGATAGGTCCATTTGTAGTACTGGCAAGTGAAGCCTTTATAATTTAAATTTTAAAGCAAAAATCAGCATTTCAGGGAAGTTATTTTGTTTTTCTAAAAGTAGCATTCCTTGCTGAACATTTTACCTCTTCTCAATCCACTCTATCACCTGCCCTTCACCTTACAAGTCCTGTAGGTGAATTCTGTGTTTTTCAGTTACGAAGACCAGTAATAGGGACAAGAGTCAGGGAAGAAAAGCTTTCCAGCTTTCTAGAATTCCAGTTAAAAACCTGATTTTAACCTTCAGTTTGCTTGACATGTCATTGAAATTTACAAGCTTAACAGAGCAGTTATGTAATAGGCAGCAGTCACCATGGGCCACAGAGAAGAACCTGATTTAAACATGGGATCAGGGATTGTACATTTTTTTTTCCACAATGGTCCATTGCTCTATAATTCTTTATGCATTTGTATAATAATATATCATGTCTGGACACAGCCTACAATTTGGGGAGAGGCTTTTTTTTTTTGTCTTTTCTTTTTTGGTGCTGGGATCGAACCCAGGGCCTCACACATGCTAGGCAAGCGCTGTACCACTGAGCTACATCCCAGCCCTCACAGCCTACAATTTAATGGTTCATTCACTTGTTAAGTTTTCAAGCTATTTCAATAGTTATTTTCTTCCAGTCTCAATGTATGACAAATTCTGATTCACTGTTTGCCTCAAATATACAAATGAAATGATGTTTTTGAAAATATTTTTAAATGAAACAGGATTTAAGTGTAAAAGATAAATGTGAAATGTTGGGTTTTTAAAAAAATCTAGAATGCTGAACAAATTTAATAAACAGTAATTTTTGTTCAAGTAGGGGAAATATTAGAAAATTGGGTTTGGAGGTACTAGGTTTAGGTGACTTGATGTCTTTTTAAAGGAAAACTAGATCATCATTGGGATTCTTTTGGGGGGGTTAATTTTTTTGATTATTTTTCTGTGTCTTGGGTAGAGAGTTGTTCATCTGTACATACTCTTGATGCATTCACTTTAAATAGATATCACACCTGGAACCATCAAACCCTTTCTTAAGCTGGAAGCTTGTTGGTTATGGAGTCAGATAAATGAAGATGCAAAATCATGCGGTTTTCAACTTGTATGATGGGGTTTTGTTGCAGTGGGCGCGGATCCAGGAATGGGGTTTGGTTGTTTTCTCAGGGTGAGAGGGTTGCCATCTGGCATTGATAGTGAGATGGTCATGTCATCAGTTTCTAGATGCAGGAAAGGAATGATCCTCATGTGTTTCCTGTGGATAAGGAAGAGGCTGACAATCTTTAAAATCTTGTTACCTTAAAGAAAGCAGACATGGAATTTGTTTCATAACATGCACCAGTTTCTGCTTTGCTGTGTTCATCATTTAGCTTGCTAGTAAACTTTAGCCTTGAAGAATATAAAAACTTTCTTGATCCTATTCTCACTGACTACTGTTAGTGTATTCTAATATTATTCTAATTGAGTGTATTATTATAACAGAAACATTAGGATCTTTACTTTGCTATATTTGTGAAAAGTCTTGCTCTTTTAGAAGGTGAATGCTTTTAAAATTTCTTTTGATCTTGAGTGATTATTTTGAACAGCAAAAAAAAAAAGGGTTTCACACTCTGTTTTGAGAAGGTCTTATTTCCCATTTGGATAGTAAGAAGGCAACAGAAATAAGAGAACATAGCTTTAAAAAAATTTCTTTTAAAAAAACCAAAACCTAATATAAATATAAGGTAGAATTCCTTTATGGATAACTTGCTAAGTTTATATCTGGCTCACAGTCTTGTTTGTCTTCTCTTTGTTACTCATAAATCTTTCAGCATTTACCATAATCATTTATCACTTTTCCTGTTTCCAGTTTTTCACAAGTTGCTTTGTCTCTGCTCACCTCAAAGTGCAGGTCCTGTTTAGCTAAGGAAGTTCAGGCTGCTGAAGCTTTTTACAAAAGGAAGAAATGGTGGACCACCTCTTGAACTTTCCAAACAAAATACACTGCTAAAAGCTGGCCCTTGTGAAACTCTCATTTTTTCTTGATCCTGGCTGATCCCAGTACATGTAATATCTAGCAGTACCTTCTAACATTCAATAATCCATTTATTCCAATCTTCCAGTTATTGAAGAAATCCTGGTTGTCTTTCATTACACAAGACATAATTATTATTGTGTTTTCTGTCTTCTTTCATGTGCTTATTTTTTAATATTTTTTTGCTGAAAGCAATAAGGTCTGTATCAATAAGAACCCCATAAAAGATTTTGGTTTTCAGAATTGCCTTTTTATAGAAAAACAAGGAAAATGCAGAGGGAATTTTTTATTAAATATTAGACATCTGGGTTGACTGCATTAATTTTAAATCACTCCTGTAATATTTCCTCTTTTCATTTGGTTCTTCAGATGCTCACATAATATGCAAATCATTTTAGAATGAATACAAAAGAAACATTAAATATATTAAAATCTGCATTTTAATAAAATTGTCAATGTGTAATATATACCTCACTACTAAGGAAGAATGATAAAAAGTAATAAAGGGGTAATTGAGACATAGAACTATTTAATATCTTTTTATATTTTACAGCCAGTAAAGAGTAAATGTAAAATAAAAACTTGGGGCTCAGATTTGAAAATGTTTTCTCCTCTTTTTTTTTTTGCTTGAAAGGTTCAGGATGGCCCCAGCACTGTGTGCTTATTGAGGTGGTACAGAGGACTTGCTCCTGAATTCTCAATGAAATGTTCCCTTGCTTTCCCTGCAGATGGAGTGGATGTTGAAGATGATCCCACGTGCTCTTGGCCAGCCTCCTCACCTTCCAGCAAGGACCAGACTTCCCCCAGCCATGGAGAAGGTTGTGATTTTGGAGAGGAAGAAGGTGGCCCTGGACTGCCATATCCGTGTCAGTTCTGTGACAAGTCGTTTAGCCGCCTCAGCTACCTAAAGCACCATGAGCAGAGTCACAGTGACAAGCTGCCTTTCAAATGCACCTACTGCAGTAGGCTGTTCAAACACAAGCGGAGCCGAGACCGCCACATAAAGCTGCACACTGGAGACAAGAAGTACCACTGCAGTGAATGTGATGCCGCATTCTCCCGAAGTGATCACTTGAAGATCCACTTGAAGACGCACACGTCCAACAAGCCATATAAATGTGCCATTTGTCGTCGTGGGTTCCTGTCCTCTAGTTCCTTGCATGGACACATGCAAGTTCACGAAAGGAATAAGGACGGCTCCCAGTCTGGCTCCAGGATGGAGGACTGGAAGATGAAGGACACTCAGAAGTGCAGTCAGTGCGAGGAAGGCTTTGACTTCCCAGAGGACCTCCAGAAGCACATTGCAGAGTGCCACCCCGAGTGCTCCCCCAACGAGGACCGAGCGGCCCTCCAGTGTGTCTACTGCCACGAGCTCTTTGTCGAGGAGACCTCCCTCATGAACCATATGGAGCAGGTGCACAGTGGGGAGAAGAAGAACTCGTGCAGCATCTGTTCTGAGAGTTTCCACACAGTGGAGGAACTGTACAGTCACATGGACAGTCACCAGCAACCAGAGTCCTGCAATCACAGCAACAGCCCTTCCCTGGTCACGGTGGGCTACACCTCCGTGTCCAGCACTACTCCAGATTCCAACCTCTCAGTGGACAGCTCAACCATGGTGGAGGCTGCCCCACCAATCCCAAAGAGTCGAGGGAGGAAGAGAGCAGCGCAGCAAGCCGCTGACATGACCGGCTCCTCCAGTAAACAAGCGAAGGTTACCTACAGTTGTATTTACTGCAACAAGCAGTTATTTTCGAGTCTTGCAGTTCTGCAGATTCACTTGAAAACTATGCATTTAGATAAGCCAGAACAGGCCCATATTTGTCAGTATTGCTTGGAGGTTTTACCCTCACTCTATAACCTAAACGAACATCTTAAGCAAGTGCACGAAGCTCAGGACCCAGGCCTGATTGTCTCCTCCATGCCTGCCATAGTTTACCAGTGCAACTTCTGTTCCGAAGTTGTCAATGACCTCAACACCCTCCAGGAGCACATCCGATGTTCTCATGGTTTTGCCAACCCTGCCGCTAAGGACAGTAATGCATTTTTTTGTCCCCATTGCTATATGGGCTTTCTCACTGACTCTTCCCTTGAAGAGCATATAAGACAGGTCCATTGTGACCTCAGTGGCTCCCGATTTGGGTCTCCAGTGCTTGGAACTCCAAAAGAACCAGTAGTAGAAGTGTATTCCTGTTCCTATTGTACGAATTCACCAATATTCAACAGTGTTCTTAAACTGAACAAGCATATCAAAGAGAATCACAAAAACATTCCCTTGGCCCTGAATTATATTCACAATGGGAAGAAATCCCGGGCCTTGAGCCCCCTGTCTCCTGTGGCCATAGAGCAGACATCTCTTAAGATGATGCAGGCGGTGGGAGGCGCACCTGCGCGTCCAGCGGGAGAATACATTTGTAATCAGTGTGGTGCTAAGTACACGTCCCTAGACAGCTTTCAGACTCACCTAAAAACTCATCTGGACACTGTGCTGCCGAAATTGACCTGTCCGCAGTGCAACAAGGAATTCCCCAACCAGGAATCCTTGCTGAAGCATGTGACTATTCACTTTATGATCACCTCAACGTATTACATCTGCGAGAGTTGCGATAAGCAATTCACGTCAGTGGATGACCTTCAGAAACACCTGCTGGACATGCACACCTTTGTCTTCTTCCGCTGCACCCTCTGCCAGGAAGTGTTTGACTCGAAAGTCTCCATTCAGCTGCACTTGGCCGTGAAGCATAGTAATGAAAAGAAAGTCTATCGGTGCACATCGTGCAACTGGGACTTCCGCAATGAGACCGACTTGCAGCTGCATGTGAAACACAACCACCTGGAAAACCAAGGCAAGGTGCACAAGTGCATCTTCTGTGGCGAGTCCTTCGGCACTGAAGTGGAGCTGCAGTGCCACATCACCACCCACAGTAAGAAGTACAACTGCAAGTTCTGCAGCAAAGCCTTCCATGCCATCATTTTGCTAGAGAAACACTTGCGAGAGAAGCATTGTGTGTTTGAAACCAAGACACCCAACTGTGGAACAAATGGAGCTTCCGAGCAAGTGCAGAAAGAGGAAGTGGAGCTGCAGACCTTACTGACCAACAGTCAGGAGTCCCACAACAGTCACGATGGGAGTGAAGAAGACGTGGATAGCTCTGAGCCTATGTATGGGTGCGACATCTGTGGGGCAGCCTACACGATGGAAACCCTGCTGCAGAACCACCAGCTGCGGGACCACAACATCAGACCTGGAGAAAGCGCCATTGTGAAAAAGAAAGCTGAGCTCATTAAAGGGAATTACAAGTGCAACGTGTGCTCTCGCACCTTCTTCTCTGAAAATGGCCTCCGTGAACACATGCAGACTCACCTAGGCCCTGTCAAACACTACATGTGCCCGATTTGTGGAGAGCGTTTTCCCTCCCTTTTAACTCTTACTGAACACAAAGTCACACACAGTAAGAGCCTCGATACCGGAAACTGCCGGATCTGCAAGATGCCACTCCAGAGTGAAGAGGAGTTTTTGGAGCATTGCCAAATGCACCCTGACTTGAGGAATTCCCTCACGGGTTTCCGTTGCGTGGTGTGCATGCAGACTGTGACCTCCACCTTGGAACTGAAAATCCACGGGACATTCCACATGCAAAAGACAGGGAACGGGTCCTCTGTGCAGACCACAGGGCGTGGCCAGCACGGCCAGAAACTGTACAAGTGTGCATCTTGCCTCAAAGAATTCCGTTCCAAGCAAGATCTGGTGAAACTTGACATCAATGGCCTGCCATATGGTCTGTGTGCTGGCTGCGTGAATCTCAGTAAGAGCAGTAGCCCAGGCATCAGCCTCCCACCCAGCACGAACAGACCAGGCTTGGGCCAGAATGAGAATTTGAGTTCCATGGAGGGCAAAGGCAAGGCAGGGGGACTGAAGACACGCTGCTCCAGCTGCAACGTCAAATTTGAGTCAGAAAGTGAACTCCAGAACCACATCCAGTCTGTGCATCGAGAGCTTGTGCCAGATAGCAACAGCACACAGTTGAAAACGCCACAAGTGTCACCCATGCCCAGAATCAGTCCTTCCCAGTCGGATGAGGTAACTTGACTTTCTAACGTTTTCTATTTAACCTTCTCAAGAAACTGGCCCCACTTAACAAGCTCATACTTTCTACCGCCTTATTTATTATCACGTACCAAGAGATGCTTAATGTGAAATGCAATGGTTTTTGTATTTTGTTTTGTTTTTTCTCCCATAGCCATTAGCTAGCAATCACTTGCTTTTTGATAAGCGGCATTTTGGCTTGAATGGTGCAAAATAGGACCAATTCCAGTCTCCCAGGATATTGTCTTCTCCATGACTGAAGAGACTGGCGCACATACCAACACCACTGAGATCTGGAATCTCAGTGTAGCTTCACCCTGAGTTGAAATCCCCAGCTATGACTTGTGTATGGCAGAGAGATAATGACACAAAAGTAAGATAGTGTGCACCAATGTGCTGGCTTGGAGTAAATTAAAAAGAATATATATATATGGCTATTGCTGGGTAATAAATTGGGTAGGGGTGGCTGTTTAATACCATATTGTCAACACTCACTCTTTTCTTTGTCTTCTGGGTAGTGAGGAAAATGATTTCTCGCAACAGGATTTTTTAAAAAGCCGCTGCACTTATTAAACACCACATGCCCATTATCTCTTTAAAGGCACTGTCCCTGAGTCTTCACTCTCTGACTTTCAGAATTAATGTTTATTTCTTCCTTCTCAGCTTCAGAGTACTGTAGTTTCATGTTCTCTTTGCCACAATGAGTATGAGAAACAAGTTCATTAACAGTGAAATAGTTTTATAAGTATTGTTCCTAGACGCTGAGCAGAGGATGGCCCCTTTAATATAATTTCTGTCAGCTTTATCACCTAGTTTCTAAGAGCTCTTTCCACTTCCCTACCTGGCCCTATCTGGAGAGCCATCCAAATGAAAACCCCAGGGAGATCCTTGTCCTTTCAGTCTGGGGTTGCTGCATTTTCCTTATCTTGACTCTGCACTCACACCCTCTTAGAGGGCTCCCCACACCTTCCTGCAGATAGCCATCAGGCAGCTGGTAGGGGAGACCAGGGGAGACCATGCAGAGCCTGTGCTCACCTAGTGTGGCATCCATGTGACAGGCAGACACCCCAACTTTGAAGCTGCTCTCCCTTCTCCCCTGCCCTTGTAAATCTGCACTTTTCTCTCATTTAAATAAATGATATCCTTTAAGACTGATGAAGACAGCTAGAAGGACAAAGTTTTGGTAATGGCTCACGGCTCTGTGTTGCATCAAATATAGTAGTTTCTTTTGAAAAAAATTAGTAATTATATTCATATGAAATGAATTTTTTCCCAAACTTTTTATTTCAAATGTGTTTAAGTCTGTAGAAAAGTTACATGAATAACACCATGTTTGTTTGTGTATCCATAGCCCAGTACTATCTTGTACTCTTTCCCTTTCTCTCTCTCTCTTTCTCACTCTCTCTCACTCTCTTGCTCTTAGTCAACCCAAGCAGCATGAATTGGCATTGCAGATATTGCTACATCTCCTTTGAATAAAGATATCTCTTATTTATCCATAATATCATTAGTTAAGGTAATTAAATTAGCAAAAGAAATTAGATAAATCCATAATATCAATCTATAAGAGATCCATATTCAAATTTCTCCAATTGTCCCCAAAATGTCTTATGGTTTTAGACAGCCTAGAGTTAAGGATTCTTAAAACACTTGTACAGAAAGTTACTCTTCTTTTTAGGACTTTGAATACTTATGATCCTTTTAAAGGTGTGTAAAGGTGATTTAAAGTTACTACATTTGTGTATGTGTGAGAGAGAATTATGCATTTAAAATCAAGCAAAACAGGACTCTCTTGTTTGTTAGTAAATTACTTACGAATGGGTATATGCCTGTTTCTTATCTGTTCATAGTTTGTGTTTTCTGATATTCATAAATTTCAGTATGTTATAATACCATTTGAGATCAAATATTTCAAAAATGAAGGAGCATGTATGAATGGTATTTACCCATTAATTTGGTTAGAGTTTCTTTTCTTTTTCCTTTCTTTTATTTTTGGTGGTACTGGGGGTTGAACTCAGGAACCCTTGCTTGCTAGGCAGGTGCCCTACCACTTGAGTCACTCCACCAGCTCTCTTTTTTTTTTTTTTTTTTGTGGTACTGGGAATTGATCTTAGGGCCTCTTACTTGCTAGGCCACTGGAGCCACATCCCAGTCCTTTCTGCTTTTAGTTTGCTTTTCGGATATTGTCTCATGCAAAAATCCAGATTGGCCTGGGACCTGCGTCCCAGTAGCTGGGACCACAGGCATATACTACCATGCCTGGTGCTGGTTAGAGTTTTGTGACTAGGAGAATTAATCCTTAGGACATGATCAAGTTTTTATTTATACGTAAAGTCCTAAAGCAATTGGAAAGCTTATCTGTATTCTGTATTTACATAGAATATTATTTAAAACTTAAAAACTAATGTTTTTAAGTGCTTATCTACTAAGAGTCAAAAATGCCTTTCTACATAGAAAGATACCTCCCTATGAAATCTGTTTAATAATAGCTTGCAGTGATGTACTCATGGATAAGAGCTGTAAACATTTCATTTTAGCCCCCCAACCCCAAGAAAAAAAATTCAGTAATTTGCTCAAATTTTTGTCATTACTCTCACCATCTTAAAATTCATTATACTATTTAAGTCATGAAATCATGATATCCTCTAAAGTTGAGAAAGTCATACAGTAGACTCTCTTATTTGGAACAGAAGGGCTTAGCAGAGTAGGTTGTATTTGTATCTCTTATTCCTGAGGATTGAGGCTCTTGAAGGCAAAGGAAGACTGCAGGAGACAATAAAACATGGACGCAGATATTGTCAAGAGATTCGATTTTTCTGGATCATCACTTATGATTACATAACGATATTGGGGGGTTGGGGATTTAGCTCAGTGGAAGAGCGCTTGCCTGGCAAGTGTAAGGCCCTGAGTTTGGTCCCCAGCACCGAAAAAAAAAAAAAGGAAAACTACATAACGATATTGGTAGAGACATTCACAGGCATCTGTCAAAGACTGCAAAAATTATTATCTGATTGATACTAGATTACCAAATTAAAAGGGATTTAAATTTAAATATAAATCTTGAAAAGGATAGGTACTGTATAAAACCATACAATTCCCCCAAATGGATGAAAGACAAGATGTGTGACATTTAAAGAAGGTTAAGTGTAGGTTGCTGTCATGTCATGGAGATATTTGGAATTGAAGACAGAAGATCTGAATTTGAACCCCATTTTTTTTTCTGCCTGCTTAATGCTTTTGAATTTGTGAAAGATGTTTTCTTTATGCCTAGGTCCTATGATTATTAACCTAAGTCAGCTGTGGTGATTTTTTTTGAATAAAATATTTTGAGGAAACTATTCTTTTTTCCTCTGAAAGGTGGAGTATAATATAAGTGTACACATAACCTTCAGTGTATATACATGCTATATTTAATTTGAGGCAGAAAGAACACTGCCCAGCTAGTTTCTTCTGCACATGAAGCATCTTGCAGAGTTCCTGACATATACGATGTAGTGAATAAATGCTAGTTCTCCTGCATTAGTGGACACTGGCCTGGCCGTCTGGTGCGGTGTGGCCCCATCTGGACCTCAAAATGTTGCCTTATGACTTTATTTGGTGATAAATATTGAAAGCACATGTCCTTTTGCCTCCATTTTTTCCAGGGTGTTTCATGGGTTTCCCTGAGGGATTATTTTAACTCACACCATCCCCACCAGTTCTTTGAAATCACTCTTGCAAGGGTTGTTATATTTTGCTCTTGTGAGATGCTCATATAGTGGGGACCACGGAGACCATCTGATTCAGCCACCTTATTTTACAGACAAGGAGACCAGCTCAGATAAATTGAGATTGTCCAAGATCACACAGTCCGTTAGTGGCAGACAAGTGTGAGAGTTGAAGTCTTTGACTCCAGGTGGAGGATTTTCTTTTCATAATCCCACAGGCATTTCCTCCTAGCTGCCATGTATGCCCTGATCTTTTCAGAAACTGCTCACAGTATGGATGTGTTCTTCTGCTTCTCATTCATGTCTTCTGTTCACCACAAAAAGATCTGCTTCTGTGACTTTATTATAGCTTACTTCAGTGACCTCATTGACCAATGTAATGTCCTTTTTAAAAAAGATGTCTTGGACTGGCAAAGTTGCTCAAGTGGTAGAGCACCTGCCTAGTAAGCTTAAGGACCAGAGTTCAAGCCCCAGAACTGCCTAAAACAAACAAATATACAAAAAAGATATCTTGTTACCTCGGTCATTGAGTACTTATCACTGTTGGCTGTTCCCTGTCTTTGTTATTAGGTCTGTGAGTTTTCCCTAGCCATCTCCATCCATTGCTCACTCCTATGAGTCAGTGCTCCCCATGGCTGCTCTCACTCCACGTGCCCTCAACCACTCCCATTGCTATAACCTTTTACCGATGACTCTCCAAATAGTGTCTTCAAGGGACAGGAAGGAACATTGGGGACTGATAGAAATATTCTACAGCTTGATTGTGGTGATGTTTTTATATGACCAGATATTTTTGTCAATACACACCAGATACAGAGTTAAAGAATTAGTTTCGTGGAAATGATTCCTCAGTAAAGCTGGTGTAAGACAAAAATGGGGTCTCCAACTCAGATCTTTCCACTGAGCCTCAGGCTTACATATACAGCTGTTTGTTGGACTATCCATGAACTTCTGAGTCCAAAATTGAACTCACACACTCTTTCCTTCCTTCCTTCCTTCCTTCCTTTCTTCCTCCTTCCCTCCCTCCCTTCTTCCTTCCTTCCCTCCCTCCCTCCTCCTCTTCTTCCTCCTCCCTCCCTCCCTTCTTCCTTCCTTCCTTTCTCTCTCTCTCTTTCTCTCTCTTTTGTTATTGTTGTACTGGGGGTACACTGTGACATTTACAAAAGTTCTTACAGTATAATATACTTGAATTTACCCCCTCCATCATTCTCCTTTATCCCCCTTGAGCCATTTCCACAGGTCCCGTTTTTCCATTTGCATACATGTGTTTGTAATATTTCCACCTTA